CTCCCATGAAATCCCATCAAATCCCCATAGTTTCTTTCAAAACTCCCATGAAATCCCATCAAATCCCCATAAAGTTTCTTTCAAAACTCCCATGAAATCCCATCAAATCCCCATAGTTTCTTTCAAAACTCCCATGAAATCCCATCAAATCCCCATAATTTCTTTCAAAACTCCCATGAAATCCCATCAAATCCCCATAGTTTCTTTCAAAACTCCCATGAAATCCCATCAAATCCCCATAGTTTCTTTCAAAACTCCCATGAAATCCCATCAAATCCCCATAGTTACTTTCAAAACTCCCATGAAATCCCATCAAATCCCCATAGTTTCTTTCAAAACTCCCATGAAATCCCATCAAATCCACATAGTTACTTTCAAAACTCACATGAAATCCCATCAAATCCCCATAGTTACTTTCAAAACTCCCATGAAATCCCATCAAATCCCCATAGTTTCTTTCAAAACTCCCATGAAATCCCATCAAATCCCCATAGTTTCTTTCAAAACTCCCATGAAATCCCATCAAATCCCCATAGTTTCTTTCAAAACTCCCATGAAATCCCATCAACCCCCCATAGTTTCTTTCAAAACTCCCATGAAATCCCATCAAATCCCCATAGTTTCTTTCAAAACTCCCATGAAATCCCATCAAATCCCATCAAATCCCCATAATTTCTTTCAAAACTCACATGAAATCCCATCAAATCCCCATAGTTTCTTTCAAAACTCCCATGAAATCCCATCAAATCCCCATAGTTTCTTTCAAAACTCACATGAAATCCCATCAAACCCCATATTTTCCTTCAAAACTCCCAAGAAATCCCTCAATACCCCATAGTTTCTTTCAAACTCCCATGAAAAATCCCATCAAATCCCCATAGTTTCCTTTCAAAACTCCATGAAATTACCCTCAACCCCCATGTTTCTTCAAACTCCCATGAAATCCCATCAAATCCCATAGTTTCTTTCAAAACTCCCATTTAATCCCATCAAATCCCCATAGTTTCTTTCAAAACTCACATGAAATCCCATCAAATCCCCATAGTTTCTTTCAAAACTCCCATTTAATCCCATCAAATCCACATAGTTTCTTTCAAAACTCACATGAAATCCCATCAAATCCCCATAGTTTCTTTCAAAACTCACATGAAATCCCATCAAACCCCCATAGTTTCTTTCAAAACTCACATGAAATCCCATCAAACCCCCATAGTTTCTTTCAAAACTCCCATGAAATCCCATCAAATCCCCATAGTTTCTTTCAAAACTCCCATTTAATCCCATCAAATCCCCATAGTTTCTTTCAAAACTCCCATGAAATCCCATCAAATCCCCATAGTTTCTTTCAAAACTCCCATGAAATCCCATCAAATCCCCATAGTTTCTTTCAAAACTCACGTGAAATCCCATCAAACCCCCATAGTTTCTTTCAAAACTCCCAAGAAATCCCATCAAATCCCCATAGTTTCTTTCAAAACTACCATTTAATCCCATCAAATCCCCATAGTTTCTTTCAAAACTCACATGAAATCCCATCAAATCCCCATAGTTTCTTTCAAAACTCCCATTTAATCCCATCAAATCCCCATAGTTTCTTTCAAAACTCACATGAAATCCCATCAAATCCCCATAGTTTCTTTCAAAACTCACATGAAATCCCATCAAATCCCCATAGTTTCTTTCAAAACTCACATGAAATCCCATCAAATCCCCATAGTTTCTTTCAAAACTCACATGAAATCCCATCAAATCCCATCAAATCCCCATAATTTCTTTCAAAACTCACATGAAATCCCATCAAATCCCCATAGTTTCTTTCAAAACTCCCATGAAATCCCAATCAAATCCCCATAGTTTTCTTCTTTCAAACCTCCCATGAAATCCCATCAAATCCCCATAGTTTCTTTCAAAACTTCCATGAAATCCCATCAAACCCCCATAGTTTCTTTCAAAACTCCCATGAAATCCCATCAAATCCCCATAGTTTCTTTCAAAACTCCCATGAAATCCCATCAAATCCCCATAGTTTCTTTCAAAACTCCCAAGAAATCCCATCAAATCCCCATAGTTTCTTTCAAAACTCCCATTTAATCCCATCAAATCCCCATAGTTTCTTTCAAAACTCACGTGAAATCCCATCAAATCCCCATAGTTTCTTTCAAAACTCCCAAGAAATCCCATCAAATCCCCATAGTTTCTTTCAAAACTCCCATTTAATCCCATCAAATCCCCATAGTTTCTTTGAAAACTCCCATGAAATCCCATCAAATCCCCATAGTTTCTTTCAAAACTCCCAAGAAATCCCATCAAATCCCCATAGTTTCTTTCAAAACTCCCATTTAATCCCATCAAATCCCCATAGTTTCTTTCAAAACTCACATGAAATCCCATCAAATCCCCATAGTTTCTTTCAAAACTTCCATGAAATCCCATCAAATCCCCATAGTTTCTTTCAAAACTCACATGAAATCCCATCAAATCCCCATAGTTTCTTTCAAAACTCACGTGAAATCCCATCAAATCCCCATAGTTTCTTTCAAAACTCCCAAGAAATCCCATCAAATCCCCATAGTTTCTTTCAAAACTCACGTGAAATCCCATCAAATCCCCATAGTTTCTTTCAAAACTCACGTGAAATCCCATCAAATCCCCATAGTTTCTTTCAAAACTCCCATTTAATCCCATCAAATCCCCATAGTTTCTTTCAAAACTCACGTGAAATCCCATCAAATCCCCATAGTTTCTTTCAAAACTCCCAAGAAATCCCATCAAATCCCCATAGTTTCTTTCAAAACTCACATGAAATCCCATCAAATCCCCATAGTTTCTTTCAAAACTCACATGAAATCCCATCAAATACCTACTCGCATGAATTCCCCATGTTTCTTTCGAACTTTGCCGGCGGTCCCGCCATCAATCTGCGCCCCGCGCCAGACGGGCCAGATCTCGGGTGCTTATCAGGGACCAATTCCGTTACTCCGAGAGGCAGCCGCGCCGCTTTTTGTGGTGGGAAAATGATGGGAACATGGTGATCACTATTATAATGGTATTACATGGTATTACTATATAATGGTGACATATGGTGACATATGGTTAATATATAATGATAATATAGTGTAGTGTAATATAGTGTACTTAGTTGCATTTGCAGATGCAGTTGTAGTTGTAGTTGTAGTGTGATGTGATGTGATGTGATGTAATGTAATATAATGTAATCACTGCTATAAATTATAATCATGATCACTATTATAATGATATTACATCACCATTATATCATTTTTATATCATGGTGATAATGTATCACTCTTACAGTCATTATATCACCATGATATGGTGGTTTACAACCTATTACATCTATGGATCCATATCAACGGCCATTTCAGGAACCTAAATTGGAGGTACCTACCATATGAGGCATTTTTTCAGGCCTAAATTTCAGGGAATATCCCTCGAAAATATGCCCATTCGGTACAGTCCCTCCATTTTAGGATCCTGAAATTCCCATTGAATGGTGATTTCCATGGAGTTGACCAGTTTGATGTGGGAAGAATGCCCAAGTATGGAGTTTTTTTTATGTTTATGGGATTGAATAGGATTCAAAATACCCCTCCACAGCAACGTGAAATGCATGGGTATTGATATATAATATATAATAATCATAACATATATATATATATATACATACGTATATTTACATATACATATTAGAAACACATATTCATCTTGGAGTAGATACAATATGGAATTTCTAAAAGCAACACTATTACAATGGGAATCATATTGAATATTCCATATTGCATCTACTTCAAGATGATCATAGCTCTGTTGATATGTAAATGTATATCTAAATCCATCATGATGATATGCTGTACACATGCTTGGCACCAAGTATCAGCTTCAGAACCTGTCCTTACTTGCTGCAAGTTACTTACTTGTAAAGACCGGGAAAACATGAGATACCCTAGATTGCCATCGTGAAACATAGGGGTTTCATGAACCATGAGACGGAATCACCATGCGGCCAGGCCTTCAAAAACACCAGAAGTTTAGGATCCACCACCGTTTGCTTGGTCCTCAGACACTACAGGACATGGTGCCGTTGGTTCGTCAGCTTTGTTTCTATTCAGATCTGCAATTTTTGTTTGGTTTCCATTTTAACACATTTGTTTGTACCCTTTTCAAATACCTCTAACATTTGCCGGTTGGGTCTATACCAGTACCCTCCAGTAAGGTAAAATAGCTGCCTGTACGGCAAAATTGGCCATGTGTTTTGATGATTTACCTGTTGCTTGATATACATATATAGCATGGCTATATTAAATGACCAGATGGCAAATTCCCATTAACCCATGAAATTACCATTTGTTGATGGTTAAACTACCATCTTTCCCCCTAAATAGCTCCATGTTTGATCCCCATGTTTCACTGGGAACAATTCCTCATGGTGGGAAACATTCTTAATGGACTCAGATTCCTGTTGGAATTCGGTGCAAACAGCAGACACTGCAATCTGATTGATCTTTATCGATTGGGATGATTGTCTCCCTTTTAATGTCAAGAGAAATTACAGTATATTATTCTTAGATTTATTTCTCATGGATTTTGATATATGTCTTGCTATCTCTTGCAGACACCTCAGCTCTGAGCCTGTTGGCTAAGCCGCATCTGCTGTAATGACACTGGCTTTTGTTTGACAAATCACGGTGACACATATTCAAAAAATGTTATTCCTGGTCATCTGGTCGCGGTCGCTGTTTGACATATGAAAACAATTAGGGTACCCCAAGGTGTCTCGATATGTTTCAACATGGGTTGTTCATGTTCTAAAACTAGTTGCAGAGGATTCAAAACCAAATAGGCATGTTAGTTTACCGCTTGGTTCTTTGCCATTCTCACCAAGGCAGTTCGTTCAACAAATGTGTTTTTTCCCATCACCAGAGTGGGATGACGATTCCAACATACTCGACATCGACATCTCCGGCCCATGGTGTCGCGCTGCCATGGCCCCGTGGTTGCAGAGGGTGCCCTTCAAGGCGACACGGGACATCTTTGCTGTCTCCACATGCGACACACATTAAAAAACAACCAGAGTTGGATGGCAATGCTCACAGAATCCGAGTCCAATTGATGTTCAAATAATGATGTAATATGATGTAATGATGTCCTGTACCCCAATTGAATCCCATCCCCATTTGTTTCCCGGATCCGCTCCAGCCGTCATAGGCTCCAAGTTGGACATCCAAGTTGAAGGCGCCGCCCACGCGCGTGCTGCTGGCCAATTTGCCAACGCCATTGTTGCTTGCCGATAAGATCAGGGACCGTTTGATCTGTTTGGTTCTGGCGATATGTTCAAATTGTAAGCAATGTCATATGGAGGTTTCCATAAATGGGGGGTACCCCAATAGCTGGGTTTTGCCTTACAATGGACAACCCTATTGAAGTGGATGATTCGGTGGTATACCTTAAGAGGTCCCTTGGCCTCTTTAAATGGTATTTCTGTCAATTTGGCAGAACTGTTTCTAAAACTTCAAGGACTATTTCTAAATGTGTTCAGGACCATTCCTAAAATATGTATATATATACCCTAATATGACTTATATAACTTTATATCACTAAATGAGATTCCCTAGACACTGAGATATGATTACATCAGGCTGCGGCCTTTTTTTTGCCCAACTGCGCATGGTAAATCCCACAGTGTTCACACTGTGGCAAGAAGCCAAAATGAGCCCACCATATCGAATTTACGGGATCTTAAGAAAGGAGTCATTTCCCAAACTGATTTTCAGAAATTCAAATTGAAGATGGCTGAATTTATTTCCCAATGAATTCATGGTGGTCTCCGCCTCCACCCTACATCTACACACCCCATTTTTTGGCTCTGTTGGCCTGACCATCCTTTTTCTCTTTTTTCTCAGTTTTCCGCTTCTTGGCAGCCACGGGTTTCTCCGTCTTCTCATCTTTGGAGGCTTTTTGAAGCCACTCATCCACCTTCCCAGCCAAGAGCTTTGGAAGATCCTGCTTCCCCATGCCAAAGCCGGCCATGTACTTGACAGCTGTGGCATAGAAGCCTGGGTGAGCTGACATGCCACCAGAACGTGGTCCCCAATGTATACAAATGTCAAATGGGGTGTGTTGTATGTGATGGTATGCAAATGAAAACATGAAGTGATGCACCCATACTGTGATGTCGCGCAAAAGTGATATCATATCACCAAGGTCGCATCAAACCATCAGATCGTGTGCTTTTCACAAATTCCAACACGCGCTCGGCGCGCTCGTCCACCAAACTCAAACTGCCACGAGCGCGCCGAGCGCGTGTTAGTGTTTCACGAAAAGCAAACAAGCCCAAAAGCAAGTCTTAACTTCAAAGGATCATTGCAACATCCAAACTTGTCTCTGCCTCATGCTTTTTCTACAAACCCTAACGCGCGCTCGGCGCGCTCGGCGCGCTCTTCCATACAGCTTAAAACCAAAACCTGAAACATTTACTGAGCAAAAGGAAAGTATTGCAGAGATGCTTTGAAGGTCAGGACATAATATTGCTTTACACCTGTTTTGCTTTTCCACAAACCCCAACACGCGCTCAGTGCGCTCGGCCAAAACAAACCCTAGCACGCGCTCAGCGCGCTCGGCCAAAACAAACCCTATAACATCCCTAACACGCGCTCAGCGCGCTCGTCCACAAACCCTAACCCCAAAACCCTAAGCTTTCTTGTTGCATATTTTACATAACTAGAGTGCTGCAAAGCTTGCTTTTTGCATATTTTACATAACTAGAGTGTTGCAAAGATCCTTTAAAAATCAAGCTTGCTCTTGGCTTTTTACTTTTTCAGAAACCCTAACGCGCGCTCGGCGCGCTCGACCACAAACCCTAAACCCAAACCCCTAAGCTTGCTTTTGCATATTCTGCATAAGCAGAATGTTCCAGAGATCCTTTGAAGGTCAGAATGTGACTTGCTGTTGGTCTTGTGCATTTCACAAATTCCAACACGCGCTCGGCGCGCTCGGAGCGCGCGCCGAGCGCGCTGAGCGCGCCGAGCGTGCGTGTTAGTGTCTCACGAAAAGCAAACAAGCCCAAAAGCAAGTCTTAACTTCAAAGGATCATTGCAACATCCAAATTTGTCTCTGCCTCCTGCTTTCTACAAACCCTAACGCGCGCTAGGCGCGCTCGGCGCGCTCAGCGCGCTCGGCGCGCTCGTCCATACAGCTTAAAACCAAAACCTGAAACTTTTACTTTGCAAAAGGAAAGTATTGCAGAGATGCTTTCAAGTTCAGAACATAATATTGCTTTACACCTGTTTTGCCTTTCCACAAACCCTAACACGCGCTCAGCGCGCTCGGCCAAAACAAACCCTAGCACGCGCTCAGCGCACTCGGCCAAAACAAACCCTAACACGCGCATTGTGCCTGCCGGCAATCCTCTGAGTGACTGACGCGCCACATCAGTAAAGCACTGCTTCGTGATAGGGTCGCCAACAGACACCTAAGCAAGCGGTTTGTGTAAACTACACCATGATGGATGATGATGATGATGATGATGATGATGGCGGCAGTGATGATGAACAGGATGAACCTGGTGATGCTCATGTTGATGATCAAAATGATAACATCAGTGCCACTGTTTCATTGCTCCTTGGGGGCTGGTGATTGCTGAATCAAAAGTTCACTGAAACATCTCGGAAACATGCGTTGTCAAGGCCCACAACTGGATTCTTTGTAAATGATGATTTGTTAAAGTATGTTATGCTATGCTCTCTTGTGCGAAGTCATCTTATGTTATGGTATCTTATGAAATTATGACTATTACTATTACTATTGCCATTACTATTGCCATTACTATTGCTATTGCTATTACAGTATTACATGATAAAGAACATGTTATGATTAATGTATGTTATATACAATGCTCTGATATGATGATGATATGATATGTGATGTGAGGTAGCGAGAAGCGGCTCTGAACGGTTCAGAGCTATCTATGGGAGGTTGTTTTAGAAATAGCGCTAAACGGCTCTAAGCGGTTCAGAGCTTTGTATAAAATCAAGTAAGAAATAGCGCCAAGCGGCTCTAAACGGTTTAGTTCTATTTCTAGTTATCGCCTGCCATTTTCCCAATTAGTCCAGAGCGGTTTAGAGCGGTTTAGAGCGGTTTCTAAATTTCATGGATTTTGGAACCGTGTTTGGGCAATGAGAGAAAGAACTAAACGGTTCAGAGCGGTTCAGAGCCATTCCTCGCAGATGTCTTTGAAACGGCTCTCAATGGTTTAGAGCGGCTTCTGGCACGTCCCAAAGTGCCTACATAAAAAATACATCAAAAACATAAAATATAATATATATAAAAATATAGTTTAAAAATATGAGAACAACAAACATAAATAATTCATCATCAATGGCTCAATGATTGATCAATAACAATAATTGACAAAGTCAACTGACAACCGGTGCCAAGAAGACGGTTGAACCAAGCCACTTCAAGTGAAGCATGGTTCAGATTCAACGCTTCAATCTCTCGGCCATTGAGGCCGAGGCCAGACAAGTCATGGTGCTTTGAAAAAACCATTGGCCCATTTGCCTTCCCCATCCTCAAATCCCGTTTTATCTTCTTCGCCGAGCTCACAATTTCAGCTCGACGTGCACCATCCTGGCTGGTTGGGCTTTGGGAATGGTCTGGCTGGCTAATGGTTGAGAAATCCTCCTGCTCTGATTTAGAAACAGTATTGTACTGGTTTGATTTTAGAAATAGTCCTGGACTGATTTAGAAATAGTCCTGGATTGATTTAGAATTAGTTTTGTTTCTTTTTTTCTTTTACGGCCTCACGGAAGACCCAACGGCCCAACGACGGACTTGGGACAGCCCAAGAAAAGCCCCATCATAAGAACCAACTAAAGGGTTAATGAGCAATCCAGGGCCATGCGGTCATGTGCCCAATATGTCATCATCCAAAAAGGTCACATGAACTGAACAAGAAAGGCTGACCTTTTGACTGGTGCCTCACAATAAATGATAGCTGGGTCATGGATCTTTGTTGCTGGCTGGCAATGACACTGGCAACTACATGGTTTACGATTGTTTCGCGGCCGTGGTAAAAATGTCCATGGTGTGAATAGAAAATAAGCACGCCGCTATAGCGAAACAATATTTTTGCACATCCAGCATGTGAAAATGCATCATCGTCGTTTCAGAAAACTACTTGTTTTATTTGCACTGTCATCATCATAATGAGCATCATCATCATCATCATCATGATCATGATCATCATCATCATCATCATCATCATCATCATCATCATCACATCATCACATCATCATCGTCATCATCATCATCATCATCATCAGCAGCATCCTCAACACCATATAGATCGTCAACATCATATAGATCGTCAGCAACTGCAGCTAAGATATCTGGCTAACGTCCCCACCTACCCACCCGTAGCATCCACTTCATGTGCAATCATAACAACATGTTCTTAATCCCGATACAGCAGCGTAGCATGCACATGCATGGAAGGTTCCAGAGAACTTACAATAGCGTGGCACGACGTGTGAGTGGAAGGTAAAAGAGAACTTACAGTAACGTAGCATGACGTATTAGTGGAAAGTTCCAGAGAACTTACAATAGCGTGGCATGACGCATGAGTGGAAAGTTCCAGAGAACTTACAACAGCGTAGCATGATGCATGAGTGGAAAGTTCGAGAGAACTTACAGTCGCGTAGCATGACGTATGCATGGAAGGTTCCAGAGAACGCACACTAGCGTGGCATGACGCATGTGTCGAAAGTTCAAGAGAACTTGCAGTCGCGTAGCATGACGTATGCATGGAAGGCCCCAGAGAACTTACAATAGCGTGGCATGACGTATATACCGTATGTATGAGTGGAAAGTTCCAGAGAACTTACAGTAGCGTAGCATGACGCATGCATGGAAGGTTCCAGAGAACGTACAGTAGCCACAGAGAAGCATGTCCGTCCTCCGCAAGTTCACATGAACGTTAATACATGCCCCACCCCAGCCCAGCCCACCCGTGCATATATTCACCTACCGGCAGCCACAGAGAAGCATTTTCTTTCTCCGCAAGTTCACATGAACGTTAATACATGCCCCACCCCACCCCACCCCAACCCAACCCTTCAGTTGCGTTGCGTGCCACTTACAAGGAACGTTAACATGCCCCACCCCACCCCAACCCTTGAAATGCATTGAAAAAGTAAAAGAAAAACCACTTCCTGCCACGGCCGTGCAGCAGTCGGTGTCCAACTACATGGTCCTATGCTATGCGCACACAAGTGGATGGGCATGCCATGCCAGGTGAAAACAAGAAAAAATACAGTACAGTACATATCCAATCTTAGTGGGCCATAGCCCATAGCTCATTAACAGAAAGTAACAATAAGTATATAAAGGAAAGGAAGGTACGGAATACAAAACCCGTCTGCCACTGCATTGAAACCCCGTATTCAGAAACATAGGAACTTAAGAAAAAACATCATCACACAATCCTGATCGACACATTTCAAAGAGCACGCCTGAACGTCAGATCATCAACCACCAAGCAATTGCTTGAGAAAACGAGAATGAGTTGCAAGCAGTGAATGCCTACTGGACACAATTATCTATCTAAATATGATATGACTGTAATTTGAAATTCTATATGCCCCAGGATCCTCCAGGATCTATGGATATCTTTGGGACTGATATTTGATCCTCAGATTGCAGGTTTGCTGGAGTACGATGCTTGATCTTATGGTTTAATGCCAAATTGCCCTTGCTGTTTCCAACTCGATCCACTCCAGATCAATCTTTGCGAATTTGATCACACACTTGAAATTTGTTTGCTTTCCTTTTTTGGGATTGCACCCAAGTATTTTTTGTTCTTTAATTCGAACCGCACGCATTTTATTCTCAGCACACCTGTCATCGCGCATGTTCTCAACGATCCATCCATATTCAGAGTGGCCAGCACTGAGTCTTCAAGTCTGTGTTTGTGAACAAGACCCGCTTTTCAATCAGAAGCTCAATGAGCTCATGCAGATCTTTGTTAGATTTTTGATCAAGTGTCAAAAACATCCCAGATCTCCAAAACACAGCCATGCTCCTTTCTGTAAGCTTATGGCCCATTGTGCAATACAGGAGCCTGTTCACTCTGCATTGGAACAGCTCATGCGCGTGGCGTTTCACCGGGTCATTGGGATACCTTATCACGCAAAACACACAACACAAACGCATTTTTTTTGCACAGTGTTTCCGAGACAAAAAAGACGCGGGCTGCAGTGGTGGCCCAAAATCCTCCAACTCTAGTGCGAAAACGTGCCATGGTGGCTGTGTCTTAGGTGGCTGTGGAGGGCCTTCCACACGACGGCCTCAGTTTGCATACTTACATACACTCATATTGTTATCACTGCACCTGCCACAAGTACACTCACAGAGACACCATGCCTTATCGCCAGACCTGCCACACAAACATTGTTCTTGCCACACCTGCCACGCGCGCGCACCAACACTAAAAAAAACATATTTTGGCCACACCTGCCACGCCCACAAGCACGCAACACTTCACATATATTCTTGCCACACCTGCCACACGCAGAATCACATATGCTCATATATTTTGGCGGCGCCTGCCACGGAGAACCACAGACACGAAAAACGAAAACAAAACAAAAAAACAAAACAACAACTTCCACAAAGTTCGGAGCAACGCTTCTTTGGAGGCTCTTCCTTGCTCATTGCACCCATTGCTATTGATATGCACGGTTCAGTTTTTTGATCTTTGGAATTGCTGCGGTTCCGAGCGACATCCACCAAAAAATCCCAAACTTCGTTTGCAACACACATGGTTCTTGGAAAGCGGTTTTGTCACCATATTTTCCCAAAACCAAGACATTAAAAACAACAATGGTGAATTTGCAATCTTGAAGTTGTTGTGATGTGCAAGTGGCCACATAAATTTACTCTTTCTAGATTCTAGAACCAATGTGTTTTTTTTTACAAATAGGTTTAGATATTTTAGAAATAGCTATATATTTTAGAAATAGCACTTTATATGTTAGAAATAGCCCTGACATGGCCACAGACAAAGAGGCCAACCGATGTCTTAAGGTATACCCATTTTAAGACATGTTAAGAAATCTCCATATGACTGGCTGCACCACAAAATTGGGAGATGCTCAGCAAAAATGGCAAGTGTAGCACAATGAGGAGTAAACAAAAACCATGAAACACTGGTGGGCGGTTCCAATAAGAAAAGAACAACACATGGAGGTTTCCTAAAATGGGGGTAGCCCTAAATCCTACATGTTCATAGGATTTTCCATTGTAAACCAAGCATTTTGGGGACCCCCCATTTATGGAAACCTCCATGTGATTGGGGATGAAAGCACCAGCTCAGATCACCATAGATGTCAGCTTGTAGTCACTTAAAAGAAGTTTGTGAGATGTTGGTAAATTTAAGTGTTGCTGTACGTACTTTCATGGAGTTCTAGATCATAATGATATTATAGATGATGTTTATGTTGTTCCATTTTGATATTTATCTGTGATATATAATGATAATATATATATAGTGTGTTCAATATATTATCATTATTACTATTATTACTACTATTATTACTACTATTATTACTACTATTATTATTACTATTAATTATTACTACTACTATTATTAAAGTTATTATTGCTATTACTACTGCTGTTATTGTTGTTATGTTATTATTGTTGTTATATTATTATTAATATTGTTAATTTGTGTTATTGTTATTTCTTATTAATTATTAGTTCTTACCCATTATTATTTATTATCTCTATTATCTTTATTCCCCACCTGCCAGGGGAGGGTTGTTAGATTTTATCACAGTTGTTCTCCTCCTCCTCGGCTAGCTATCCTCCTCCTGCTCCTCCTGCTCCTCCTCCGCCAGCATCTCCTCCACCACCTCTGCCTCCACTTCCACGTCCACTGTTGCCTTGCCAACTCTTCGCCAAGCTCTTCGCCAACATCCGAGCTCAGTGTGCACCGCTGGACCTCAACCTGGGACCTTCCCAGCTCAGTGGGCACCGCTGGACCTCAACCTGGGACCTTCCCAGCTCAGTGGGCACCGCTGGACCTCAACCTGGGACCTGCCCAGCTCAGCGTGCACCGCTGGACCTCAACCTGGGACCTTCCCAGCTCAGTGTGCACTGCTGGACCTCAACCTGGGACCTGCCCAGCTCAGTGTGCACCGCTGGACCTCAACGGCCAGATAGAATGCCAGAAGATATGCCAGATAGAATGTCAGATAGAATGCCAGAAGATATGCCACTGCCAGATAAAATGCCATGAGATATGCCAGATAGAATGCCAGAAGATATGCCAGATAAACAGATAGAATGCCAGAAGGTATGCCAGAGAGAACGCCAGAAGATGTGCCAGATAGAATGCCAGAAGATATGCCAGATAAAGTGCCAGAATGTTTGCCAGATAGAATGCCACATAATATGCCAGAAGATATGCCAGATAGAATGCCAGATGGAATGCCAGAAGATATGCCAGAACATATGCCAGAAGATATGCCAGGTAGAATGCCAGAAGATATGCCAGAAGATACGCCAGATGGAATGCCAGAAGATATGCCAGAACATATGCTAGAAGATATGCCAGGTAGAATGCCAGAAGATATGCCAAATAGAATGCCAGAAAATATGTCAGATAGAATGCCAGAAGATTTGCCAGTAACAATATATATAAATGTCATGGTGGGGATCACACGAAGTAAAGTAATTATTTTTACTATTTATTATGCTTATTATTTATCATTTTTGTTACCAATTATTTTAATTATTCGTATTATTGCTTGTTCATATTTTATATATCTATTATATCTATCTATTTTATTGTACATATTACATTAATATATATATATATTGTATATACATGACATATACTCCAGTACTTTGCTGTGATTTCACAGGCTGGTCGTGGTCGCGACCAAAGATTCGCCTTGGTCGTGCTTCCGCTGCCAAGGATGCCTTGGTCGTGCCCGCTGCTTCAAGATTTATCAGTGCCTGCCGGCGTGGCGATTTGGGGATGGGGAACTTTTGAAACATGGGGGGGGTCGCTGGTATGTATCCGCAGAAAGGAATCGATAACTTTTGAGATTGTTTTTCATATGTTTTCCCCAAATAAGAGGAGCAAATAATCCTACTGAGATAGTAGTATATTGTGGTAATAAATTAGTCTCTAATTTCTTGATTTGATCATGCGCAGGGGTTTGCTCTAAATTGGCATGCTCGATGCTTTTCTGGCAACCATGGGATGTACCCCAGTCAAGATCGCCGTAAAATGTGCACTGGTAGCTGCTTTCTCTTGGCCTTGTTAGATCTTGGTTGGGCAGGTCAACTTTTTTTCCTTTAGGTAACCCGGAATATTCTATAGCTTTGTTTGAAAATTGACTATAATCATGGTGTCACCGGTATAGCCCCCCAAATCCAATGCTTTATCATGGTTTCAAACCTCAATTTTTCCTATAGCCAATGTAGCCTAGCCACGACGGGGTACAGCCTATATGATAGGCTGCCGGGGACGGGTGTCAATCGTTGATATCAACAGAAGGCAACCCAATATATATATATGTGTGTGTGTGTGTGAGTGTGTGTGCCTGAAATAGGGGTACCCCCAGTCATCATCCATTTATAGATGGATTTTCCATGATATAAACCATCCAGCTATTGGGGTAGCTCCATTTTAGGAAATCTCCATGTATATATGTATAATATAAACATACACTGTATAAACCAACTATATAGTTCATGGGAATACAATCATCTATTCATGGGAATGTTCCTTTGAATCACCATGAATTTCCACTTCGCAGGTGGAAATCTCCGCAGGGGGGCTATACCTTGGATGATTTTGGGGTACCCCCATGACTTAGGAAATCCTCATAGAATGATACATACATATATATATATATATATATTATATTACATGAATTGATGTTCCATTGAATCGCCATGAGAGAGATCTATATATAGATAGATAGATAGGTAGATAGAGATAGAGATAGAGATAGATATAGATATAGATATAGATGTAGATAGATTGATAGATCGATAGATCGATAGATAGATATATCGATAGATCGATAGATAGATATTCATATATATATATATATCTCATTATGTAGATATACTGAATTGTCTAGAGAATTGTTTCATCCATAGCCTTCCATGAATGCCTCAGTCGATGGTCCCTGAAGCGCGATGACCTTTGTGCCCCGGCGACCGCGATAGAAATTGCTGGGGCTTGGGGCGTTTTTATTCACGGAAAAAACTGGGGAAATTGATGATTTAACCAGCAAAAACTGGGGAAATGGATGCTTTAACATGATTTAACCCACCAAAACTGAGAAATTTGATGATAAAACACCAACCAAAAACTGAGGAGCCTTGGTGATTTCACATGTGAATCTCGAGGCTCTGGCCTATTGGAAAGGGATCAAACTATCACTGTATTGTTGGGATAGCAATTGATCGGGCCCGTAGAACCAGTCAACCAGGCCTATTTTGACGGTTGGGGGCACTGACCGAGTCGATGAATTTTAGTCACTGGAAATATCTAAGTGAATAAATGGAATTTTACTATAATATGTTCCTGTCATTTATATACTGTAATTATGTGAAATTCTAAATGGTGCCGATACCCTTTTGGCCAGTCAATTCAGTGCATGAATTCATGACCGAATTGGGATTTGGTGTATGATCAATTCGAAGATTCACCTTGATCTGGGTATCTGTGGGTATCTCATTGGATTGGAACAAAAAAACTGGTTGCTATGCGAATCACTAGACTTGATCATCTATCCAGCTATTCAATACATTGCTATACACCTTTGCTAATTCAATTGAAATAATCCTCTCTCCCTGTTACTGAAACACCCCCCCGAAATGGTAAACACGGTGATCTATTTTTGTTGTTATTTTGTATTAGGGTGCCCGTAATATTCCAATGAAAAACCCTAATTACCAAAAAAACTTGATTTCAAATTTGATTAATTCCTTATGGAAAAAATATATAGGTATATATATATATTATATTGCCAAAACTGGATTTGGAAGCTTTCTGCTCATATTCCAATGGAAACCCTAATAATGAAATTTAGAAAACTTGATTTCAAATTTGATTAAATCATATTAAATCCCTTTTTAAATCTATATAAAATAGTGCCAAAAACTGGATTGCGAAGCTTTCCCCTAATATTCCAATGAAAACATTAATAATAAAAGTTAAAAACGCGATTTCAAATTTGGTGAAATCCCTCATTAAAATCTATACAAAATATTGCCAAAAACTGGATTTCGAAGCACTCCCCTAATATTCCAATGAAAACCTTAATAAAAGATAAACATATAACTTGTGAGATGGGACCCTAATAAAAAAACCTCCAGGTGGCAATCTATTTTTATTAATAGGGGGTTGAACCCATTGTTTCACCATCTTGTTCTCCTGTTGATTCTCAATTACCACAATTAAGAATCCAATTGTGCCCAACCAAAAAAGGGAAGTGCCACACCAATCCTATTTTTTTATGTGGGGCAGCTTTAGTAATAGGAAGAAGGGATTATATATGACGTATGAACATCATTTGATATATCATGTGCAAATTTACTTGTAAAGATCCACATCTGTAATGAGATTGATTGGCAAAGTTTTGGAAGATCATTGAATATGTTTATATACATATATATACTCATACGTATATATATATATATATACATACATACATATATACGCATATATATATATATATACATCATTATTTGATATTATTCATAATATCTATATTCGTCCAATTATGTTTCCATAATAAATTTTAATAACCATCTAACTTAGGTTACGGAATATCATAATTGATGCGTTCACATTCTCCGGCCGAGGCGGACTGGAACTCAGTGGCAACAAGACGCGAAAGCAACTCAGTGGCGACGGCCGACTTGTTTTTTTTGGGAAAACATGTGGATAGGTCAAAATTATCTGGGTGGTGGTTTGGAACATTTTTTCCATAATATATGGGATAATCCTTTCCATTGACTAATATTTTTCAAGATGGTTGAAACCACCAACCAGTTGGATGATTTTTGATCAATGTCCCATAATATTTGATCAATGTTGATCAAAATATATCATCATTGAAATTTATCAACATTGATCAACCTTTGATTTTGGAGGGGTAAATGGTGATCAATGTTCCATAATATTCCAACACCATGGAGCATTTTAATGGGATACACTCCCATCACATTAATTTCATATTTGGATAGGTCAACACCTATTATTACATATTATTACCATATGTAGGAATTTCAATTGGCCAGCTATGACTTAGGGTACCATCCGGATACCAGGGTGAACTGACTCACAGCAAAGAGACACATCAAAAAAAACTCAAACCCATAGAAATTACTACAGTTGTATAGTATTGGACGATATTTTGATCCAATATTGTTTCCCGCCACTCGTTGGCAATCAAACATGGGCTGGAGCATTGTCATTTTGTCATTTAGTGATATTTCACATTGAAATGCCCATGGATCGGGAAATGTCCATGGATTTTTTCTCATGTGTTCCCATGATTGTCCGATTGAAACCCGCCATTCTTAACGGAGCTGGCCAGCCAAGGTTGGAATTCTTGCTGGCCGAGGCAGGTTTTAGCTCCTACTCTTCGGCATTTTGGGGACCCCGGAATCCCAAAATACACTAAGTCTAGGGTCGATGGTGGATGGATCATGATGGATCTAGAGTAGATGCGGTACATCTGAAAAACACCGAGCGACTCATGAGTTCGGGGGGGCTAAAAGCGAAAGAATTGGACATGGAACTACTGAAAAGGACAGGAAAAACGATGGTTCCAAGCTATCCTCACAGGATGATCAAGGTCATTTGATGCCAGATTCATGTGGGTTTAGCCAATGGCGAGCCATTGGATCGCATCAATGAATTGATCATAATTTTGTAGGAAAAACGAGGAATCCTTGGAACCTTGATTATTTTCTAGTTCCTTAAGAGTATCCAATATGGAAAATCCACCATTGGTAAATCATTTTCCTAGGGAGACCATTTTGAGGTTGACGGATGTGTTTTTTTGGGGGGGATGGTCCAAATGTCACCAATGATTTCATAGGGGTGGCGCACCCAACGCGAAAAGCCTGTTTGTTGAAGTTGAACATGAATGAGTTTTGATGAGTTAATATCCGAGTGATACAATTCCGTACATGGTTTTTTAGATATATATGTACATAGCTATACATTATCATATTAATCCTCTTTATCAAAGGCGTTGATGGTCCTCACTTCGAGCAGGCTTTGGACAAGGGGCATGACTGTGTTGTCACCGTTGGAGGCGCGACGTGGTGAAGGCTTTGACAGGGGGGTTACAAGCGCTCACCAGAGTACTTTTCTTTGTTTTTTCCATATTTCTCATTTGGGTTTTTCATGGTCTTTCTGAAAATCTAGGGGAACACTTTCATGGTCTTTGTAAAAAAAAGGGGGAAACAATCAATGAAGAATGAAGAACATATCAAAATCTCATCATTAACATGACAATTCCTTCCAAATTTGGCAGCCATTCTTGGGCCCGAAGGGATGCTCTAAACACTGAAGTACTACGAAAGACTCTGCATGATGAGATTAGCCATGGAGGGATATGTATGAGGGACATGTATGAGGCATATAGGATTTTTGCTTGATGGTTATATATGCTGTATATATATATATATATGTATGTATGCTATATAATATATGCAATTATGTCATCATTTATGTTGGTTAATATGATGCGTGTGTATGATGTATTATGTATTATTATCTTATGAACCTTGTGTGTGTTATTGCTGTATTCATACGGTATATATATATATATATATATGGGTTGTATTCTGATTATTGCTAGTACTTAGTAGTATATTGCAATATATTATATGTTACGCTTAAAGATAGTAATAGTCATAGTCATATCACTTATATATCATACTTATACAATAGTTATCATGTGTTTGTTCAACGGAAAATAAATACATTACACCTCCACTTTGTTAAGGAAGGAAGCATGCTCCCAGGCCTAGACTCTGATGAAGGAAAAGAAAGATAGGAAATCCATGGAAATCCCATTCCTAATTATTGTTAAAGCGACCTAAAATCCATGACACCTTCACTTTTGTTTCCCGTGTTGTTTTTTTGAAACAAAAACATGAAGACGCCATTCAAACTGGCTAAAACCCATGCAAACACCATGTTTTCACATTTTTTCCGTATGAAAACCAGCATTTTCCCATGAAAACATATGAAAACCAGCATTTCTTCACCATTTTCCCCTGGTTTTTGGTCCAAGGCTTGCAATCCAATCACTGCCGGGCCACCGCCGTGGCGGCGCGCATGGTGAATTTGGAGTCACATCTGGTGTTGTTGGCGACCTGGCCTGGATGAATTTTCCTGATACGGCCGAAGTTTTGAGGTTAGTACTTGTCATTTTACCCAGATCATATTATCATATATATATATGTATATATACATATAGAATTATACATATATATATATTATTATTATATATATAGTTGTATAGAGGCAATATTACCTAACCAATACTTGGGATTAATGACTGAGAATTATGTGAAGTGATTTATTGCGGATTTGTACAATCTAGAATGACATATAGGAATATTAAGTAACCAACCAGTATGGGATGGGATAGAGGTATTTTTCATGGCTCAATTGATGAGGCGTGATTGGGCTTGATTAGGCTATATAATTGGGGATATATGGCCAGGTATAGATGGATGGGTAAGTTTCTGGCGTCACTGGGTTGCATCCCCCAGATGTTGGATGTATCCAAGCCAGTAAGGATGATTCAGCAGAATCACAGAATTACGGACAGTTGCAGGTGATCATGGTCTACAAATCTGTATTCCAGCATGGCAATGACAATCCTCCTGGATGATTTATGCATTAAACATGATGAGTGGTGAGTGTATGTGATTGTCGATGCATAACATGAAATCCGTGTGTTTGTCAACCCATATAACCACATTGGAGAGAAATTTGGAAGCACCGCAATATGTAAATCAATCAATATCAACCTATCCTACCAAGCCACCTATCTATGTGTCTATCAATCAAGTCCTCTTAATCTTATTGTTTATCTATAATTATCTATCTTATCGATGTCTATCTCCATGTCACCTGTGTGTGTGCGCGTGTTTAAATATGTATATATACACATTCATATATATATATATATACAAATACATACATACATACATACATACATCCATACATCCATCCATCCATCCATCCATCCATCCATACATACATACATACATACATACCCACCTACCTACATACCTGCATACCTGCATACCTACGTACCTACATACATACCTAGATACATGCATGCATGCATACATACATACATACATTCATTCATACATACATACATGAATACATACATACCCACCTACCTACCTACCTACCTACCTACCTGCCTACCTGCCTACCTGCTTACCTACATACATACCTACATACCTACATACCTACATACCTACATACCTACATACCTACCTACCTACCTACCTGCCTACCTGCCTACATGCCTACATACCTACATACCCACATACCCACATACGTACATACCTACATACCTACATTCCTACATACCTACACACCTACATACCTACATACCTTCATACCTACATACCTACATACCCACCTACAACCTACATACCTACCTAGCTACATACATAGATACATAGATACATAGATACATATTTACATATGCACATATACACATAAACACATATAGATATACATTTATTTACATATATATATATATATATGTATATGTATATATACATATTCACTGTTGGCAATTTGGGGTGTAGATGCGTCAGGTTTAGATCCGATACCTTTTAAATCTCAAAAAAAACAAAAATCCCAGAAGATCATGTGGTATCACCAAGAGGCAGTAATGAAACAAAAGAAACTGCGGGCATGAACGGTTTTTTCCTATCAAGGCAATGATGATTTTGCGGGATAGGCCGTTAATTGAAACTTTGGCAGCCAATCTAATGACAAGTGATCCCTGTCAGTTGAAATTGACAATTGAGGGGTCCGAACATAGCAGCAGGGATGACCTCGGCCTATGCAACAATAGACACCGGCAACAGCAATGCCAAGTAATGACAACTTTCGCACCAGCATATGCAAGCACATCACCCCTTTAGACACTTGTTGTGCCATTTTGAGAAAGTTTGAGACATTTTGAGTCATCTTGAGCAATGTTGAGGAATTTTGAGTAATTTCAGCAGGTTTGAGCAATTTTGAGCAGTTCTTTCGGGCCAGCTTGGGTCATCTCGCGCAATTTTGAGCATTTCTGTCGGGCAAGTTTGGGTCACGTCGAGCAATTTTGAACATGTTTTTCAAACACGATATGGCATTGTCGACCTTGGACAGTGTTCAAAATGTCTCAAGTGAGGCTGCTTTGAGACATCTTACTTTGGCTGAAAAAGGTGGCTGATGTAAACCCCACGGATCTAGACCCTAAAACGAGATTAGTGACATATATATATATATAGATACACATAAATATATACATATATATATATACATATATTTACATATACATATATATATATATACATCTTTATATACGTACACACACATACACACATACACACATACACACACATACACACACATACACATACATACACACACATACATACATACGTACATACAGACATACATACATACAAAAATACATACATACATACATACATACATGCATATGTATTGATTTCATATTTTCCGCACATATGTAACTATATATATGTATTTTTATATATGGCATTTTCAAAAATAGTTTCATTTTAATGATTCTTGACATATCCATATTCTATCTTCTCCAGGATGACTACATATATTATAGGCTAATACAAACTGCGTCCCCTCCACGAGCTGCACCAGGTAAAGGATCAGATGCTGGAGCAAGATCCAGGCACGTGACCAGGGTTTTTTCGGCCATGGCGGCCATAGTTAGTCAGGCCATAGTTATAGGTTATGGTTATAGGTTTTAGGCCATAGCTATATTCAGTGCTAAGGCTATATTTTCAACGGCTATGTCTATGTAACAAACTACCAGAGGCTAATATGTTTCCATAATATTGTCTGGTTGGTGGTTTGGAACCATGGGATTTTCTGTTTCCATTCAGTTGGGAATTTCATACCCCCAACTGAGTTTCACTCCATCATTTTTCAGAGGCGTAGGTATACCACCAACCAGAATATGTATCTGATCTGGTAAACATTCACATAACCATGGAAAGATCCATCATTTTTCATGGGTAAATCATCTATTTCTATGGTCCAAAGCGAACAGATGGCCCATGTCAATAGAGGAAACTTGGGGGTTGAAAATGCTACCCATCAATGGGAAGATGTTTCTGGGGATATAGCCAATACAGTTCTGTTTAATCCTATGTGGCGTGTTTTTTTAAATCGATTCTAAATGTCCTGTGTGCTTCTTTGGGGAGTTTGATGACTTCTTTCAGGATGGTGATATCCACAAGAGTCAATGCTAGAACTGGAAATTTCACCATGGGAATCAACCCGGTGATTTCAGCTAGCCCCGAATAGCTTCAGATCCCTTGACCGCCCGGAAAAAATAATGTGTCAAATCAACACAGTTTCAGGATCACTACGTAAGCAATCTAAGTAATTTTCATATATTCTCATATAATCTCACTATATCTCACTCATATTCACAGCTTGTTTTTGTGAAAATCATGTTTTGATGAACCACCCCACGGATTCCTGGGCCGCCCCATGTTGTTCTTGAAGCACCATAAGCACCAGAAATTACCAATGTACACATATATACATATTATATCTATCTGTCTGTCTATCTATCTATCTATCTATCTAACTATCTATCTATCTATCGATCGATCTATCTATCTATCCATCTATCCATCTATCTATCTATCTATCTATCCATCTATCCATCTATCCATCTATCCATCTATCCATCTATCCATCTATCCATCTATCCATCTATCCATCTATCCATCTATCCATCTATCTACCTATCTATCTATCCATCTATCTATCTATCTATCTATCTATCTATCTACATTAGCTGTAGGTCTTGAATCCCTACAATGGCCGGAAATTTTACTACATTCTCCTATTATTATCTGGATATCCAATTCTTAGCTATTTGGTCAATCCAACGGGACTCATTTTGCATCATCTCAAATAGGGGTATATAGCCGATCATCACCTTCAATTGGGGATGGTTCATTGCTATAATCCTCCCATTTTTATTCCATATGCCTATATATATATATATACACACATATATATATATATATATCCACATGTATCCACCAGTTTTCATGGTTAATCCCATATAAATATGTAATTTCCCTGTGAACATACACCTATATGGGTATGATGGCCGGTTTGACCCGCTCAATGTAGAGCCTATTTTCGGTTGATCAAAGAATGGGCTATACAATGGATTGGCTCCGTTTAGAGAGAGGCAAATTCAACCAGACGCTGACCTCTCAAGATCAAGACAGGTTGGTGTCGGATTGGACATTAATTCGCATGTCTTTCTTAAACCGTTCATTCGTCAGGAGCCCAGGTGCTTCAAAAGGAAAACATCACCATCTTCCATTTTGTTTCCCATGTGATGAATTAGATTCACAAGGATTTCATTCCATGTTCTTTCCCATGTTACATAATGTAATCAGTTCGATTCTTACCTCATGTAAATCCCAAAGTCTCAAAACACCCTGGCCCAACCGACACAGCGAACAACATCTTTGGCGTTACGCGTTGCACGTCGCGAAAGGTTTGGAGGGCAATCTGCTGCTGAGTCGCCTGACGGATGCCACGCTCCACCTCTGCGCCGCCTCCACGTATCGGTCCTTGGGGGGCGATCTGCAGGCGGCGGATCGCTTGATGCCTGGCTGGTGGTTGAGGGTTAGCCTCTGGTGGTAAGGGTGGCAATGGGAAATGTCATGAAATATCTCGATAATTCGCTATAGATGGAGGAGGGAAATATGAAATAAGCCAACAGATGGAGGGTAATCCCTTCCCCTTATACTGAACGCCCCCCCAATGATAAACACCTCAGGTCGTTTTTATTATTAGGGGTGTTTTTTATTAGGGATCCGAAGTCGAATTCATGCTATTCATTATTAATATATATATATGTAATCAATTATACGTGTATATGTAGTAATCATGAGTTGACAGTAGGGGTTTCATGAGGCAGATAGTCAGAATCAGTAATTATCCAGCATCCAGCGGGTCAGGTCCACAGACAGGAAGCCTTCATTGCTTGTTGGGATCAAGCAAACAGCCAGGCAGCTAGCCAGTCAGCCCTCCGCGCGCAAAGACACACAGTCAAGACAGACAGGGCCATGCAGGCAGCCCAGCCAGCAGCAGTTGTCGAGGCAGCGCAGCAGGCAGCAGTGGTGGAGGCAGCCCAGCAGCAGCCAGTGGAGCCAGCCCACTGGCTGCTGCTGGGCTGCTGCTGGGCTGCCTCCACCACTGCTGCCTGCTGCGCTGCCTCGAGCATCCAAGGAGCAGAACGGGCAGCTCCTCCAGCAGCTCCTGACCGTGAGCCAGGACTCCTGCCAGGAGCTGCACTTAATAGGCAAGAAGGTGAACTGCCTTGAAGCCAGATGTGCAGCTAGGCAGCAATTTCATCAATCAGATAGTCAGCAAAGAATTCCATTGAAATAATTACAAAAGTGAAATAATTACTTATGTTCCATTCATTGTAAATGATAAATATGTCCATTCCCATTATGTAGCAATAGGAATACCATTATGTAGATCTCCATATAGGTTCCATTTCTTATATACCTCCTGACTAAGTTCTTCTATCAACCTCCACCTCAACCTCCACCTCAACCTCTATTGCGAAGACCAGGAGAGGCATCGCGGACAGGTAGAGACAGTCAGAGTGGGCGCAGACAGCATGGAGCCAGCTGCTGGTGCGAGCCAGACAGGCAGGGCCTCCTTTCAGCTGGCTGGTCTGGTGCCAGTGAGTGGTGGCAGACAGGTGAGCCTGGAAGTCAGCCAGCCCAGCGGCACAGGGATGCAGCTGACTCAGACAGTAGAGAAAAAACCAGGCAGGCAGAGAGCCACCGGCTGGAATCTTTAATATAATGTTTCACCCCCTAAAAACTCAAGAAACCCTCAACATAGGTGTTTGTTTGTGGGATCTATAAATTAAAGATTCCAGCCAGTCCAGACAGGACCTGGCAGAGCCTAGAAGTGAGCCAGGCCAGCTGCACAGGGAGGTAGCAGCCAATTCTGCACAGCAGCGGAGCAGACAGTACAGAAACTAGGCAGGCGTAGTGCAAAGTTGGTTGGAGTCTTTAAAGGTAATTAGTCTTTAACCCCATAAAATTAAAGGAACCTTACAATCTAATTATATGTTTCTGATTTTTCTTCTAACCCCCTAAAATTAAAGGAAACCCTCAACATAGGTGTTTATGGGATCTAAAAAATTCAGGATTCGAGCCAGCTCAGAAAGACCTTGCAGACAGCAAGGCAGAGGGGTGGCTTTCACTGTTTCAGGCAGCAAGACAGACTCATGTCAGCTAAAAATTGCTCAGCTAGAGCAGCCAGGCAGCTTGGATTCAGGGGTTGGGATCAAGGACCCTTATAATAAACACACCGGGGTTAACTAGTTTTTATTAATAGGGGGCAAAACCCACAAATGGTAGCTGGTAGCTTGATTTTTTAATTGTTTTGTAAAGGGTATCCATTAAAAGTCAAATTGGCCAATCTGAAATTGTCCAAACTGGGAGACGGACCCTAGTTTTTAGTATTTGGGGTAGTTTTAGTAATAGGGGAAAAGGATTATTGATATAACGGAGTTGCTGGAGGTTGGGGAAATTCAATTGTTGTGGCTTGGATTTTTCCCAGCCATGATGACCGGATATGGCAAATGTTCGATGAGATGTCAGTGGAAAATTTAGGGAGGACATGGTATTTCAATCTATTTCAAAGGGGATCCAAAAGCTGGTGATATATCAAATATCTGTGTTTTATGGCGATCACTGATCAGCATTTATGGAAAGAGAACATGGTCACCCAAAAAATGAAAAAAATATGAACATATTTTGCTGAACCTGCTGAAACGGTTGAAAGCGGTCATGGCCGAAAGCTCCAACCTTGGTATGGACAGAAATGGGACACTGCGCTGGAAGCCTCCGCCTTGTGAGGAATGAAGAGATGGCGCAGCAACTGAGAAGACAGGGGAAAAATCCCTATGTCATCCCAGAACCTTGGCATAGTTTGGATGGGTGGTTACAGGGGTGGGGCGAAAAACGATGGGATATTCCAAGCACCTGAAACCAGTGGTTTTCCGGTTCGAACCATGGTTGTTTCATAAATGGATCAGATACTTCCATTGTTTCATGGGAGGATAAAGATCATTAAATATCAATTTCTTCCATGTGTTTCCGACAAACCATGTTTATCCTCCCCATAGGGCGAGCACCTCTACCAAGGTGGGCGGCACGTGTCCTCTTGGCACTTGGGGCTATCTCTCAGCTGTGGACGAGTTGCAGGAACAGCGACTTGGTGGCGAGCCACGAGGCGAAACCGATCTAAACACTTGAACTTCCGATGTTTAGGAACAAAAATAGATAGAAAAATAAGATCATGTAAGATCCAAATTTCAAAATCGTTTTATATATCAATTTAATTATATATATATATATATTTATACATATTATATGTAAAAATATATATTAAAATATTGCTATAACTTTGTTGAGCCGTGCGATCTCCCAATATCTGTAGGGCAGACTTGTGATTCCAAGGGATCATGGGAAGATCTGACCATTATCGTCATTCACAGCCAGCTTAAGCATGAGGTATTAATATTTTATATATTATATAGATTATATATATATATACATCTACATATATTATGTATAATTATATATTATGTATATAATTGTGTATGTATGTATATATATATATTCACGAATCGTCCACTAATTACTGTATATCTAACCATCATAAGATTCATGACAGTCAACTTGCCCATAATTATCCATATGATCTGGATGAATCATAATGACCACTGGAATGTTGGAATTGGATACGGGGAATCATCCCCAAATGGCCCAACACTTCAGATATGTTTTATTTTATACAATTCAGCCATAGATATGGGGATGTGTCAACACCTATACAGTAATCCCATATTTTTGGAGATGAACATCTATTTACCACCTATTTTCCATGTTCACCTATTTGGTACAGGCTTTTGACCCATCACCATATAAACCAACTGGATAGTGCGCTGAGGCTCTCTCCGGAAGATCCAGTTGCGACTGAGCGGAAAGCGGGCTGGAGCGCGTTTGCCAGGTGAAAGTATACCCTTCGCAAATCATGTGGAAGTATGGGAAAATATCGAAAATTCACTGAAAATTCTAGAACGAACCCTAATGAAGGTTTCTAGCTGGGAAAATCATCGAACTAAATGGGGGAATTGTCCACCATGTTTGATTACCCAAGGGTAGTGCATCTTCACCAAAAGTGACCAAGAAATCTGGGTGTAGCCCACCAAAGAGTGGAGCTAGCATCATTCTTACACGGGTTGAATCTGGTAGATGTTACCATCATTTGCTTCGGTTTTAACCACAAGAGATGGGGAGATGGTTAACAAATCATGGTATTTTTGACAGGTCAGTACCCTGACATCCATGATGCAGTGTAGCTTGTTTCAGTGCTAAGATAGTCCAATATGTTTGAACATGATTTTGGGGGAGGACTTTATTTGGGGGCTCACCGATATTGGGAAACTGCAGAGTTTAAACTTGGGTGGAGGATGAATTAGTGGGCAAAAAATCTAGGAAACCCTGGGTGAAAGGTAGTTGAGCAGTTCGTTTTACAAAGTGGTACATATAGCGTTTATAACTGTTTATACAAAAGATATATAATATCATGTGTTGAGAACAACACACTTAATTATATATATATATAATTATATACACATTATGTTATATATATACATTATTATATATATATACATATTTGTCTTAACCAGCCAAAAGCTGGATGATTTTGTCACATGTGGCAGTCTGAAAGTCTTCAGAAGGCCGGAGGGGTGACTATCCAAGTACAGACGGGTTCAGGGTGATGCTTTCAAGGTTGCGCAACTTAGTGTTGCCACTTGTGGAGCCACCCTTGGGTAACACAGCTATGGTATAGATGACCAATTTAGTTCGAGGAGTTACCAATAGTCATTACCATAGGGTTTCTCGCCCATCATATACTAATTGTATCACAATTTTTGGTGGTTAAATCAGTTAAATCCTTCCTTTCTGGGTGAAGTTCCCTGAATCCCATCTTCCGTTATGAAACACGCGCAAGAAACCACAGTTTAGTAGGATATTTACACATTTGGACCATGGACATTATAGGATGGGATTCATCTGCCCATTTCGTGTTCCGAACATCGCTCGGCCCGATGCATCCCAGCGATACGCCAAGTGGGGAAATCCATAAATGGGGATACCCCAATAGCTGGATGGTTTACAGTGAAATATCTACAAAATATGATGATTTGGGGGTGTAACCCATAGTTTAGGAAACGTCCATTTGCTGGATGGCAAAATAAGAGAAACAACTTGAACACGCAAGGTAGGGCATATTGATGGAAATCAACCAAGAAACATACTGAAAAAATCCTCAAACAACACAGCAAGATCAAGAAAAACAAGTGTTTTGAATGGACAACAACTGGAACACATATTGAAAAAACATCTGTTTTCATTTCTGAAATCGTAGATGAATTCTTGATTTTTGTGAGCTTTGGGCATCAGATTGAGACACCTGGAGTCAAACAGGGCTCATTAGAGGTCTTTGTAGTCACTCACTTCCCATCTTTTGCAGGGAAAAAACAATTTAAAAACCGAAGCAAACACTTGAACTCCTTTTTTTTGCATTCAATCCTCGCATTGCTTGATTCTTGAACTCCAAAAACCTGACAAATAAGCTGAAGTCACCAGTTTTGCAGGTAACAGCGTCGTTGGCTCTAAGCACACAATTTGCAGGAAACCTAAAACAAAATGATGTTGCAAAACATGCCCCAAACAAACGATGGTTTCGTGTATAGATTTTTCCTTTAAACTTTTTCGACCAATCCATGAACTCCATGAACGATCCACGTTTTTCATTGCTGACTTAAATGTCATTGTTCATGATGAACTCACTATGGAAATCCTTGGTTAACTCACCATGGTCATCAAGCCATTGATTCAGCGACCGCGACCTGGACCTCCAAGGATCACATCGTCGTGGCGGCGGGTTCCGGTGGAACTTTGGCCGGCCTGGCACTGGCCTTACACTTGGCTGGAGGAAAGCAACAGCTGCTGCCTGGCATGAAATTTGGTGAGTTTCCTATGAAACAAAAAGGGTAGTTGACTATAGTCATGGTTAGTTGACTATAGTCATGGTTAGTTGACTATAGTTATGGTTAGTTGTGGTTTTAGTAAAGTCAACTGATGTTACTATGAATCATGGTTAGTTGATGAACGCTGCTGAGTTATATTTTTTTCTTGGAACTGTCTCAAGTTGGAACAGTATTTCGGAACTTGGGCCATTATTGGAAGATACCCCGGTTGATTGGTTACTGCAAGGAATCATACTATCTCGCTATTGGGGATGATTGTAACAGTCGGGTAACCTATCCTGGTTGGTGGTTTCAAGCATTTTTAATTTTCCATTTCATATATTAATATATGGGATGTCATCCTTCCCATTGACTTTCACTCCATCATTTTTCAAGATGGTTGGTTATTGCACCAGCAACCAGTATCGACCAACTGTCGGGTGCACCTATCATGGTTCACTTCAACGAGCCAAGTGTTGCACGCACACTGGGTTGATTCCTATGCCAGCATCTTTAGCTTCAAAATGTAGGGGTTGCTATAAGAAAGACCCTTCACCATGCTTAACCAGCCTCATACCAAGTGTAGAACATGATGGGTTGTCTGTAAAACTATGTAATAAAGTGGTGCAATTGGTCAGTGGTTTTTTACCATTGTTGAGTTTCAAAGATACCTTAAAGATTGAAACCTTGGAAACCTGCAACTAGTGTGCAGGAAGAGGCCCCGAAAAGGTAAGCTGCTTAAAACTAGCTCAACTTGCCTGGATTCATGGTGGGATATATTGGACTAGATGGAGCCACACAAGCAAACTTATCTGGTAATCAAACATGGCAATGGGAAACACCCGATTCATACATCTCGATGCTGGCGCTGCTTGGCTGAGGGTATCACTAACAGTATACCCTCCAGTAAACCAACAGTTGCTATGAACAATGGCGTATTTATTGATGAATTACCTATCAATGTGATTTGTCACAGCTGTTTTAAATGACCAGAGCGAAACCACGGTGAAACGACTGCACCATGTTACATGAAACCAGTGGCTACGTAGGCTATGGTTATCCTACCACAAATGGGAATCGTAAGATGGAAATACACATATGAAAATTCCTGCAAGTATCATATCCCATCATGTCCCTTGGAATCTGGGCAAATTATAGTGACCAATTATAGTGACCTCACTGTGACTGGAATCATGGTGAGAATCATCCCCAGCCAAAGTTTTTAGGTTGGTGAAATATTGTAATTTCATGCAAGTTCCCTCAGATGAATGGACTGATGACCATCCCTCCATATGGTGCCATGTACTGTACCCCTTTGCTCTTCCAAGGCATGGCGTCAACATCCAGCACGAGCCTGACGTCTACCGCAAGCTGAGCCTCGCTTCAGATTGGTCGCGTTTTGCAGCTGATCATAAACAGGAGAAACGCAGCGGCTGCGTTTCTCCAAAAGGATTCTATGCATGGAGTTGATCATACTTATGTTATATTCTTGTTAGATATTGATATATATATATATATACATACATACATATTATATATAATTGTCGTTGTTTCTCCAAAAGGCAAAGCGCTGCTCATTGTTTAGCCTGTTTGGAGTTAGATGGATCATTGCTACTTAGCTGCTACTTATCCCACTAGTTGTCAACTTTTAGCAGGAGATCAAGAAACCACCAAGATAACCATGGTGTGGATATGATGGGAATATGGATATACTCTGTAAATATATGTAGATGGATGGATGGATGGATGGATGGATAGATAGATAGATAGGTAGATAGATAGATAGTGGCATATCACATGATGTCACAAACAAACTGGGTTGTATGGTTCAAAGTTCGGGAACACCTTAATTTATGGCCGCTTTAACATGGAGAATGATGAGAGATCAATAGATTATTTGGGGTTTCCCAACAATTCAGACATATCAAAAGATGGAAGCACCGCCCGCGGCCCGCGGCCCGCGAGCCTGTAGATGTGTCATGGGAATTAAACCAACGCCCCTGTAAGGTGACCGATGATGTTTCGTTGAGATTCGCCTTTAGTTTGGTCGTGGTTCTGTGTGGTTAGGAATCCCCATGAATGTGTCACTGTGTCACTTCTCAGGTGAAAAATAACACCTTTCCGCTCTCGAAGTCCTGAGAAGTGTTTTCTTTCACATACCTAAGGGAAAATAACAATCTTTGATATTCTTTGATATATCACATATATGTGAAAATAACAGACCTAAGGGAACATAACATACCTACGGGATTTACGTTATCTCTAATCCTGAGTTTACTTAATGCATGTGATTGTTTATTTCCCAGATGGAAATCCACCATTTAAGGGGAATCTATAATATTCTACAGTATTGTTTATCGTTTTTTTTTGGTTTGAGCCCCTCAAGCAAATCCAAGTATATATATAATTCCAAATATATAGAAGTCTAGGTCCAGAAAAGTAGATCATTTCACTTTTTTTAAGGAACAAAATCACCCTTCGGATCCATACGTCATCGAAGCCATGGGCCATGGCTTCGCACCGAGGATCGCTTCCGAAGCGATGGGCTTGGGATGTGACGAGGTCTGCGACCTGCGACTGTGTTCACCGACTTTTTGTAGGGTTCCAATGGTACCATTTTCTGGTGAAAGAGCTGGTGAGTTCGGATGTTTATTCCACATGAAAACTGCTTGGTGGTTTGGAACATTTGGATTACCCTCTGGTTATTTAACAGTTTGCCATGGTATAGATGGCCCATAGAAATAGATGGTTTACCTATTAAAAATGGTGGATCTTTCCATATGTTGGGAATGTCATCATCCCAACTGACGAAGTCATCTTTTTCAGAGGGGTTGAATCACCAACTGTTGACTGATCCCTCTATGAAATTCATGGGAACATATGGGAACATATCCCATGATGCTCTATGGTGCAGGAATATTTATCAACATTATCAACTTTTACCTCAAAAATAATCAATTTTTGCAGGTCAATGGAGCATCTGGCTTAATCAAACACGAGAAAACATGGGAAATCACCTATGACTGGACGTTTTAGTAGAAGAAAATCATCGCACAAAACAGAAGCGGGGTTTTCCGTTGGACGGTACTGCAGCAATCGTAACCGGTTTGTCTCCCCGTGGTTGGTAGTACCACTTGAAAACAAAAAAAAAGCACAGAAAAATACAAACTGTTGTTTAGTTAATAATAACATAATAGTTAGTCAATACATGTCAATACCAACCCTGGTCATTACAGATTAAAATGGCGGTCAAAGTTTATGTCTGTTTAATACTGTTTATACTTTAACTTGGGGTATAGATAATGCAAAACATAACTATCGGCTATCAACGTGTTTGTTGTTTCAGAATATCGTCAGCTTGTTTAGTCCATCATAGAATCATAGTACATGAACGTACATGAACTATCAACTGGAAAATCAATTCAAAAACAACCACACATCAATCAGTTGGCGGTAAAGATAAAAGAAACTCAAAACCGTTGGAAATCGCCAGGCACAGCCTTTGAAACACCACTTGCTCCAACCGGGTGACTCGCAATGACCTTCACTCGATGTTCCAATTGAAACCTCCATTGACTTCGGTACTTCGGTACTTCGGTACTTCTCATGATTTTCCCATGGTTTTTCCCCATGGCATCCATGGCATCCATGGCATCATATGGCATCCATTGGCGACCCGGGGATTTCGTGGCCAGACCTTGGCGAGCGCCGTGGCGGGCGAAGTCCAGCTGCTGTCGGGCGCAGGCCTGGGCTACGCGCAGAGTTCGCAGCTGGAACTGCGATGCCTGGCCGAGGTGGCCAAGGTCTCAGGAGGGAAAAGGGCCTGGAACACCTGGAAACTTGGGGAACACTTGGGGGAAAACGTGTGGCTTGATATGGGTTGATTCATTGATTAAAGGGAGGAACAATATATGGGGGAAGTTTGGATAGAGTTTTGATCACCAAATATGGGATTATGATGTGCGGAAAATATGCAGGCTGGTGAATGGATAAGATAAATGCGTGGAAGCAAATCCAACATCGGTCAGACATATCCGGATTTCATCGGGGGAAGCCGAGGTGGAAAAAACTGTCTTCTTGCCAATGAATCTTGAAACAAAATGCGAGTGAGTCAGCGGCCACTTAGCAGACATATTACTAAGAGATACTAAGAGTATTGGGTTTGAAGTTCTTTAGACCGTTTCAACCTACGAAACATCTACTGTGGAGGGATCTGCTGGGTATCGACCTGAATGCGCAGGAGTTGTCCTAGATCATGTTTATGCTGGCAAAGCACTGTATCACTTCTGCGTGCCTTGTCTTGAAATTGACCCCTGACCGAACACCCTCGGTTCCACCGCCTGTGAGCTACTAAGGAATACGCCAAAGCAAATCCTGATGCGTTTCGCAACTCTCACATTCTCTTTTGGCACACAGGAGCGACGCATTGAGTGGGAGTGAAGCCTCAAACACAACTATAACACAAGTGCCAGTTTAGAAGAAAGTGATACTTTCAATAGATGATTCACCGTGATTTAGTGTAGCGGTGTGTTTGGGTACAACCATGTAAAACCTTGATAGGTGTCACAGATTAGGTTTTGTCGACAGGGATAGGCTCCTGGATCATTCTGATATGCTAGTTATCCATGTGCAACTACTGTATGCTTTCAAACGCGACACATCAGTGGCTAAACCCATGGCTAGATCTATCTTGATCTCTTGGTTTTTTTTTACCAATCCAAGAAATTCCAAGCACTGCAATTATTTTTACCATCATTTACCCTAGCTGCCCTAGCTTACAGTAATGGTTTCCAAGGTTTTTCGGTTTGCTCCTTAGACCCATCAGTACCCAACACTGGGGCGTCGGGAAATGGAAATTATCCATGGCATTGGGAATATCATGAAATATGTATCAATATGTTAGGCAATATGTACATATATATGTATACGTATCGTATATATATATATATTTATTTATTTATCTTTGGGGGAATTAAGATGAATAGAAACAACAGAACATAGCATGTGTTTTTTTAGCAGTTCGCCATGGAAAATGGTCCATTGAGTTTTGTAGTTCGATGTTTCATGATGATCTACCGCGTTTTTTTTGTGATTTTCCCCGATTTTAAATTGAGCAAAGCTTTCAATGACGATTTCGATCTTTTTTATTTTTCCATATATCGGGAAGAATCATCCCAACTGACTCATATTTTTCAGAGGGGTTGAAACCACCAACCAGCTTCACATGAACACAGGAGGTCTCTTTGGCCTCTACAGCCAAGCTGAACGTCTGCAGTCCCTGCCCAAGCGGGTCTCGAGCTTCCAGCCTACGTCTTGACCTCGGCTGTCTGAACATGGGAGATGGAGACCCAAAAATTGAAGGCTTTCATGGGAAAGATGATGATCAAATGAATTCAAAGGGGGAGCTTCTTTTCAGAGAAATCCGTAGTGGGAATTTCACTCAGCCAAATGTTCAAAGGTGTGGAGAGGTGCAAGTGGATGTTCCGGGGGAGTTTCTGGGGAATGTCATCCACCAGACTTGGGTGAGAAGGAGTTTATTTATGATTCTGTCGCGTTTTCCAGGAACAAATATATGCGGACCTTTGTATTCACTGAACTAGAACTATCAGATTTTTCAAGATCATGTAAACTAGAATAAACTAGAACCATAAAATATCAAGATAAAGTATCACTATAAAATACGACGATGTATCACCAGGTTTATGCCTTTGAGTTGCTTAGTTCCTATCGGACTTGGCCAGGCAGCCACAGCCCAAAGTTGGCGAGCGAGAAAACACAGGGCCGGAGGGACTCGGATAGGTCTGTATATGGGCCATTTTACATGGTTTTGTGAAATTACCAGAGGGTATAGAGATCTAGAGACTATGAGACTGAGATAAGCTGGTATACTGGTATAGACTATTGTATAAATAAATAAATATATATATATGTAAAAGTCTCTGTACAATAGTGAGAGAATTTGAATTAAGCTAATTGATGTTTGAAGGTGATCCATTTTGAGGTTAGAGTCAACAAAGCGGCTGCTGTCAGCACCACTCATGTGGTAGATCCAGATTTTTGTTCTCCATTTGTTGAGGTTCTGGACAACTAAGTCTAAGTGGCAGCAAAATCCAATAATAAATCATTATGGTACTTATGTTATTAATTATTAGGTTAATTATTTAACATTGTGGTTTTCCAGCTATGTTAATTTACCATGTTTATGTGATCACTCTCTGGTAAATTGACATAGATTAACATAGCTATGGAAAAAATCACTATGTTTGAAAGGTAAGTCATCTAACTTAAATGGGCCATCTATACCATAGCAATGTTATCTTACCGAAGTGCAAATCCCATAGACTAGTCATATTGTAATATATGGTATATTATATGATATGATATATCATATATCCATAACACACAGCCATAAAATGTCGGTACCTATGAACCCATCATATTATAAGTTCCTTAATCCAGAATCCATTTATAGGGAGCCCTGATGATGGGACCTTCCCAGAAACTCTTCCACTAACATAATCTGGAGGTCGTTCATTCGTTCAATCCTTAGTCCCTATACATTCCACTAAACTATAGGGTATATGTAGTTTAGTTTACCTTCCATATAGTTTAGTTCCTTTTCCATATATAATTAGTTTAGTCCCTATACATTCCATATAGATCCATATTCCATATATATACATATATATACATATATATAGTTCCTAGAATCTGCAGGTGTTTCTTGGCAGTCCCTATACATTCCATATCGACTTTCTTGGCCTTTCTGGCCTTTCTTTCTTGTGAGGTCTATCGGTCTTGGACAATTCCACACGGATCCACGGGAAGCTGCATCCCATGATGGCGATCATCTCCGTAGGTGGAGTCGCTGGGAGATGTCCTAATAGTGGGGCTATCCCCAGCAAAAATCATGGAGAAAAATATGGTGAAAATCATAGAAAAATCATAGAAAATCATAGAAAATCATAGAAAATCCCACCAAAAAATGGATGATGAAGTCCCCAATTGGATGGTGTTTATGGAAAATCCCACGAAAAACATGGAGCAAATGATGAAAGTGGCTGCGTTTAGCATGTTTAGCCTTGAGGCCCGCTGTTGGTCGATGAATTCGTTGGGGGATTATATTAATACTACCCATTACTACCCTTCATATCTTGGGGATTAGTTCATAATCCAAGAACGGGGGAATCCCTTTTTGAACCAAGCAGTTTTTTGTGAATCCAGAGGGTTGATGGCTCCCAGATCCACAGCATTTGGAGCAGTTTGGTAGGTGTGTTTTCTTAGTGTGGAACCATAGCTACATGTAACTACCATGTCTGTTACAAGAAACAATACGGAGGTGTCCGAAAACATGGGTACCCCAACCATTGGTTTTCCCATTGAAAATACGCAATTTTGGATGATTTCAGGGTACCCCCATTTTAGGAAACCCCCATATGGGAAATGAGTCTCAGAAACAAATGACAAGCCCTCAACCTGATCCCACAAGTTGTCAATATGAGCAACGTCAACCAACCAACCGACTTGGAACAGTGTGGATACGAAGGTGACTGCGAGCTAATGGTGCTCCGCCAAAGCTATACGCATCACAGGGGTCTCAGGCGGAGGGGTGAAAGGATGACTGATGACCCGGCCGATATCAGCTGAATGATTTCAAGGCGAAGCAAGCCAGGATTTCAGCTTTGGGACATGCCATGATCCATCAAAGAAACGGTAGCCTTCTTTGATCAAGATAGTGAATCGTGTTTATATCATATTGAGCATGTGTATATCCAGTCCCTTCAGTCCTGGGACCCATCTTATCCAGTATCTTTTGTTGGAGACATGTGGACCCCACTGGTTGAGAAAACATGAGAGGAGTACTGTGACGTGTCCAATTATGGAACAAATACTAGATCGATGGTGCCCAAGCGACTGCTTTCTTCTTTTTCTTGAATTTTATGTCTGGAACCAGTCAACTGACTAGGTCTAGGATGTTGTCTGGACAGATGAGTTGGCTTAGTCAGTTTAGATGTCTGTAGACAACATCCTCTGAGTTTTCTCCAACCACAGCCACTGACCTTTCGCCAACAAAAAACGGTCAGATATGAGACGGTCTTCAACACGGAGATGCAACGAATCGATGGCAACTGTCAGTGCCCCTTGCAGGCGACGGAGTTGGGGTTTCATACATTGCATTACATGACATGGAAAATACATTAGATTACACTACATTACAATAAATTACATTGCCTTACGTTACAGTACATGTATCAATCAATAATCAATCATTGATAAAGCAATAATCAATCAATAATCAATCAATAATCAATCAATAATCAATAATCAGTCAATAATCAATCAAGCAATCAATCAATCTATCTATCAATCTATCAATCTATCGAACAATCAATCCATTTGTCTGTCTATCCATGTATCTAAGAATCGACCTATCTATTTATTGATTTATCTATCTAGCTATCTAATCTAACCTAACCTGATCTGATCTAATCTAATCCTAGCTATCTAGCTATCTATCTATATACCTATCTACCTATTATATCTGGCTGGTTGTCTATCTGCCTGCCCTTTTGCCTGTTTGTCTGTCTGTCTGTCCGTCTGTCTGTATGTCTGTTTGTTTGTTTGTTTGTTTGTTTGTCTATCTACCTATCTATCTATCTATCTATCTATCTACTTATCTCTCTATCCATCTATCTGTCTATCTTTCCATGCATCCAGAGTCCTTTATTCACTATGTATTTATATATACATACGTACATACATGCATTACATTACATTACATTACATTACATCACATTACATTACATTACATTACATTATATACATTATATGCATTAATACATACATACATACATACATACATACATACATACATACATACATACATACATACATACATACATACATACATACATACATACATACATACATACATACATACATACATACATACATACATACATACATACATACATACATGCCGTGAACATAATATACATACCTAGTTCGTTCCATGCACATAGGATTGTTTATTTTATCGCGTAATTATCGTAGGAAACTTATCCCAAGCTATCTGTATGTTTTGTTCACCTTTGAACTGTCCTGGATTGTTGTTTACGATTACTGAGCAATCAGAACTTGAAACCCATTATATTGTTTATATATGTGATATGTATATATATATATATACATATATATATATATATATACATTATTAAACAAAACAATAAACGCGGCAAAGTATAGTTGTTTTTTTTTAATGACACACACTCACGAACAACAACCTAGGCAAGCTGCGCCACTTATCTATCTGATCTGTTTGCGGGTAAGATGATGCAAGCCCCAGCGCAGGTGTCAAAAGTTGGGGGTTGGTACAATCAAATGTAAGACACAACAAAACAATCCCCGATTTCTCTCCTGTTCCCCTAAATGCTTGGGAGTTTGTATCATTTAGTGACCAAAAAAAGATAGGACAGGAACTGCTCACTATTTTAGTGGGATTTAGCAATTTCTGTCTTTTATGTGAGGTTGAATCCTTGATAAAGTGGTGAACCCAACAATAAACAATCCCATCGCCAAATGGTACTTGTTTATGGCATTGGATTGCCCACATTGGTACCATCATTAACCACATATAAACCATATATTGTCCATATATTAACCATACATTACCATATATTAAAACCATATATATTAACCATATATCCATATATACCGTAAATTAACCATGTATTAACCATATTATATTTATATTAACCATACATTAACATATTTATATTAACCATGTATTATCCATATACCAACCACATATTGCCATCATTGCCCTATTCTGTTCTCGCATCTTGGTGCCATTCGAATGGCCGTTGCACAGGTCTGCCGCGTGGACGATCGAATCGATGGCGCTTTTGATGAGCGCATGACCATTGAGGCGCTGCTGGAGGACGCCCATCTCTGGTGGGTGGTTTGGATTGCCCATGAAACTCCAGTTAATAGTGGTTAAATAATGGTTTAATAGTGGTTAATAATGGCTAATGAGATATCTGGTTAATATGGTTATTGATGGTTATTAGTGGTTAATAATGGTTTAATAGTGGTTAATAATGGTTAATAATGGCTAATTGATGGTTATGAATGGTTAAAAAATAATCTAAAATCAACTATTTTGAATAGGTAAATCAACTATAATCATATCTGGTTGGTGGTCTGGAACATGTTTTTTCCCATATCTTGGGAACAATAATCCCATTTGACTTTCATATTTTTCAGAGGGGTTAAACCACCAACCAGATATAAATATAAATCAACTATGATTGGGGAGTACTACATGACCATATGAACTTTATAACCATACTATATAAAACCATATATAGTTCATATTTAGTTGGAGGAATACTATATAACCATAACCATAACTATATAACCATTACTGGAGGAATACTATATAATCATATATAGTTCATATTTAGTTGGAGGAATACTATATAACCATAACCATAACTATATAACCATTGCTAGAGGAATATTATGTAATCATATATAGTTCATATTTAGTTGGAGGAATACTATTTAACCATAACCATAACTATATAACCATTGCTGAAGGAATACTATATAATCATATATAGTTCATATTTAGTTGGAGGAATACTATATAACCATAACCATAACTATATAACCATTGCTGGAGGAATATTATATAATCATAAATAGTTCATATTTAGTTGGAGGAATACTATATAACCACAACCATAGCTATATAACCATTGCTGGAGGAATACTATATAGTCATATATAGTTCA